TGAACCCTTGATAATTTATAAATTATTATCTTGTCATATCTTGCACTGTCCAACGTCTCCTTTCACCCACTTTTCTATTGTCTGTTCCCCAGGGAGGAGGTTATATGTAGATCCTTGTAATTGGTTCCCCCTTTCCACCCTACCCTCTCTGCACCCTCCCAGTATCGCGACTCTCACCACTGGTCTTGAAGGCATTATCTGCCCTGGATTCCCTTTGTTTCCAGTTCCTAGCTGTACCAGTGTACATCCTCCGGTCTAGCCAGATTTGTAAGGTAGAATCGGGATCATGATAGTGGATGGGAAGGAAGGATTTAGAAACTAGAGGAAACTTGTATGTTTCATCGTGACTACACTGCACCCTGACTGGCTCATCTCCTCCCCACGACCCTTCTGTAAGGGGATATCAGTTGCCTACAGATAAGAGGATGTGGAAATAGATCTATGTACATCTATTTATAGGTTTAGTAGTAAGGTAGCAGATGGACATTGGGCCTCCACTCAAGTACTCCCTCAATGCAAGAATACTTGGTTCTATTAAACTGGCATTCCATGATGCTCACCTTCCCAACAATCGCTGAAGATAAACTGGGTGCATAAGCAAATGTGGTGAAGAAAGCTGATGGAGCCCAGCTATCAAAAGATATTGCGTCTGGGGTCTTAAAAGCTTGAAGGTAAAAAAGCGGCCATCTAGCTCAGAAGCAACAAAGCCCACATGGAAGAACCACACCAGCCTGTGCGAACACGAGTTGTAGAAGGGATTATGTATCAGGCATCATCAGAACAAAAAAATCATATCATTTTGAATGAGGGGGAGTATGGGGTGGAGACACAATGCCCATCTGTAGGTAACTGTACATCACTTTTCAACACTTTTAAAGAGGTCTTGTATAGCAGATTAGCCTGTACAATGGTGGATGGCATTAGCTTTGGTTATTAAGGCCATAAGTGACCTTTTAAGAGCCGTCCCACAGGAGAATTATGGATGCTGAGAGCAGGTTATAAGTAATGGCATCTGCGGTGAGGTGTAAGACAAGGAAGTTGGGGGGTGAAGGAAAGGTGAGAGATAGAATGTGGTAGAGAAAAGCTTTAGACAGATAATGAGGAATCGGTTTGAATGTTGAGGTCAAGAAGACGGTGAAGAAAGTTAGGCGATAAGATGTAGAGTAAGATTAAGAATGGGATAAAGACTATGGATGGAGGAATGGAGTGTTTTATCCTTTGAGATGAGAGGAAATAAAAATGGGCATGGAGATGTTTTAAGGTAGAAAGGAACGAATAGAAGGTGCTCATACTTGGTAGGCATGAGTGAATTAGAGGAGATAACCTATTAGGACAGTAGAGTGCCTGGGTGGTGCCGATGGAAGCCTTTTCAGCTGTCAACCAAAAGGTTAGAGGTTCGAATCTACCCAGAGGTGCCTGGGAAGCGAGGCCAGGCCTTCTACCTCTGTGACACCAGCCAGTGGAAACCCTGTGGAGCATGGGCTACTAAGACCCATGTGTCATCACCATGACACCTGCTTGTGTGGGTTGTGGAGGGTGACGTGAGAAGAGTCATAAAGATGTCAAGCCACTGCCCCGAGGTTGGGAAGGAAGGTCCTAACCAAGCTCCATCATCCTTTAAACATAATGGACACATGATACTTTCAGTTTAAACGGCTTCTAAAGATCCCTGAGATCAGACAAATCCATAAATATTTATTTATTGTGCCCACACAATGCCCCAGAGATCCACTTACTTTCTCTTCAAAGCATCCCCTTGGCGCGTCTTGCTTTTCATCTCTGTAATTGAATAGTAGAGAGAGAGAGAGGTTCGTTAGCGTCCTGAACACCTGCAGATCATGTCCGTACCTGCCTGAGCCCAGAAAGCTCTGTAAGCACTTGCTGTAAAGAGAAAGAAGCAAAGGCTTTTCGAAGAATGGATTCTTGAATCGTGTGTTTCCCAGGTTTCCAGTCTGAATATTCACTCACATGTTAAGGTACTTTTGAAGTTTTAGGGAGCTCCCTTCTCCCCCTCTCGGATCGTTTCCCTGACACTGCAGGGAGGATATCAGGAAAAGAGAACGATGGCTAGGCATTCTCTGGCATCCATATGGCTAAAGATGGGGGGAAGGAGCTTCCGTTTTATATGTCTCCTAATACAGTCATCATTCCCTTTCTATTTATTGAAGATCTGGAATGAGGGTCAGTTTGGCTCTCGGGACAGCATGAATTGTTCTCACTATTGACAAAAGCCTGCTCTGTTGTCTGAGCGCTCCACGTTCAGAGAAAAGACAGGAACTGTCATTGGTGTGCTGCTAGAAGAGTGGGCGGTTTTGAGAGGACACTTTGGTTCAGTTCCTAGGTGGCTCTAAAGCAAGTCTTTGAGCCAGTTTATTCCGAGTCAGCTGGGCAGCTATAACAAGAATTGTGGGGATGGCATAGGATCCGGCAGTGTCACAGTCTGTGGTTCACCGAGTCACAAGGGGTCACAACCAATTCAGCAGATCTCCAGGTGATTGTTGTAGAGTCCAAGGTCATCCCAATGAATCCATAAAAATCACCCGAGGATGGTGAGAACGTAGATTCCATACTAAACATCTAGGGTGGAAAGTCGGTGTCTCAGCAAGGGGGCCAACCGAAATGAACCAGTTTGAAACACTGTTGTAAAGATCCTCCCCAAATGTCTCCTGCTGATAAGTAAGCTGAGCACCTCCTGCTGGGCCTGGGTGTGAGATCTGCTTCCTGGGCAGCAGTGAACACCCTTCAAATGCTGGTATCTGACAGCTACCACCGAGGGTGGAAAGAGAAAGTCCTGTTTCAACTGATTTCAGGAGGCAACAAATTTTGCTATAAATCATGATCTCTATCTACCAGGCTGTGTTAGACTGAATTTCCTAGAGAGATAAAATCAGTTTCATTCAAATGGTTCAGAAAGAATTTCCTATCAAGATGGGATTTTATATCAAGAAAGTGGCCCACCTCAGTCCAACTCAAGTCCATGGGTCAGTTGGGTCAGATGCTAGTTTCAGACCCTCAGAGACACAGCAGTGATAGGTAAGGAAGGGAGGCAAAGCTGGGAGATCATAGGCCGTTGGGTGGATGGTTACATGGATCTAAGGTCAGCAGAAACATGGCAGAGCACTGACAGCTCCCAGGGACGGCAGACCACCTGGATCTCCCCTGGCACCAGAAGCAGAATCCAAGCAAGCAGGAAGGAAAGAGCAAGAAAGAACTCTTATAAAAAGGCCACATCCCCAAGGAGACGTCATCATGCTATGACCTGATTGAGAGGTTGGACTCCACCCCTACATCCGCACAGGTCCATCAAGTTGACATAAAATCTAGCCTTCGCCAAGGCCTTGAGAAGTAACAGCAAGACATAGTTGGCCCCTGAGTGGTTCCGACGCATGACGACCACAGGTGTGTCCGAGCAGAATTGCGTTCCATAGAGTTTTCAATGGCTGATTCATTAGAAGTAGATCCAGCAGCCATTTCTTCCATGTTGCCCCGGGATGGACTCCATTCTCCCACCCTTTTGGATAGCAGCAGAGGGCATGAACCGTGAGCCCTAGTGCCATATTGGGTTGCATGTTAGGCTGTTAACCACAAGGTCAGCAGTTTGAAACCACCAACTACTTTGTGGGAGAAAAATGAAGCTGCCTGCACCCGTAAAGATGTGCAGCCTCAGAAACCCACCGTGGAAGCTCCACCTTGTCCTGTAGGGTCACTGTGAGTCAGAACCGACCCAATGGCAGTGAGGTCTCCAGGTGGAGAATTAGCAAGTTCAAATGAGCGCTTTGAATCCTATGGAGGCAGATAGAAAAAACTTGTGACCAGAACCCATACTTTTTTCCTAGGTCTTAATTCATGTTTTCATGTTGGTGGAAAGTTTAGGAGTTGCAGGGTTTCTTTCTTTTCTTGAGATATTGTTATTAGGTGCCATTGAGTCTGTCCCAACTCAGAGTGACCCGGAAGGACAGGATCAAACTTCCAATATGGATTTCTAAGGCTGTATATTGTTATGGGAGCAGAGAGTTTCATAGCCACCCCAAACCCCACTGCCACGGAGTCAATTCCAACTCATAGAAACAACATAGAACCATTCCACAAGGTTTCTGAGACTTTACAGCTTTACTAGAGCAGTCAGGCTCAGCTTTCTCCATCACAGCACCTGGTAGGTTTGAACCACCAGTGCGCGGTTAGCAGGCTCCTTTTCTTTGGAATTTCCATCCTCCAATGGTACAAGGGACTTGAAGAAAAATAACTAACTGAAGGTAGGCCAGAGGATGATTTCCCTTGCAATAGGAGTTGAACATCATCGAGCTCGTTCACAAAAGACGACATGATATGGGTGGCGACAACAGCAGTGGTGGCTATGGGACTTGTTCTGTAGCTTTAATCACAACTAGAACTACAAAGCTGCTGTGAGCAATGTATTGGCCTTGAAAATGATTTTTCCATTCTCAGTTCATCTTCATGCCTCTAGTTTAGTGAAGGACTAAAATTGCCCACCAATATAACCCAATGATCTGCTTACTAACCCTAGCTCCTCCTGACTGAAGGCTGACCCAGACAGGCCCAGTTTTCTGAGAAGGACCTATGTGGAAGGCACTGATCACAACATAGGCATGCTGTGAACAGGACCACTGGTGCTCTGGTTCTCACTGGTGCTCTGGGGGAAGTGTGTACTACCGGCAATACTGTCTCTCTTACCCTGACCTTTCTCTCGCCTTTGAGCAAGTGTCTGTCACCTGCTGCTCCAGTACTTGAAGGCTGTTCACTTGGAAAGGGATGAAGTCGCAGTCCCTGTGCTGGGCCTGAGCATTTGTTGAAAGCCTCAAATGCTCTATTTGAACAGGTCCCAAGCTTCTACTTTACCGACATATCCTGCCTTTGGGCTACTTTCTGGCTGTCTGTGCTGCAGTGTTGGTAATTGAAATCCCTTCTGCCCATTGGTGTAGTGATTAGACTTCGTGATCATGAACATTTGTGCCTTCTGTGTGCTCTCCCGCCCCTTGCAGACTGTCATCCCCTGTGCCAGCACTGCACAGCCAATCTCCACCACACGGGGAGCGTGTGCCTGCAGTGCCAGAGTGCCCACCACCTGCTGCTGGGGGACCGCTGTGTTTCTGATTGCCCTTCTGGATACTACACGGACAAAGGAGCTTGTAAAAGTGAGTAAGTGCTGGACACAGGAGGCCGAAGTGTCTCATGAGGTTCTCGGTGGGACTGTAACTGGGAAGACTTGACCTTCCCAAGAGCGTGAAGAAGAAGGAAGCATTCTGTGGGTCGGAACGCTGGGGCTCTTATCCACTCTCTTGAGGAAGCTGTTTGGAAGGGAGTCTGGCTTCACAGATTCTGTTTGTCTCTCTTTCCTCTGCAGGATGCCACTCTTCTTGCAGAACCTGTCAGGGCAGAGGTCCCTTTGCCTGCTCCTCATGTGACACCCACCTGGTTCTCTCACACATTGGCACCTGTATCACCACCTGCTTCCCTGGGCACTATCTGGATGACAACCATGTTTGCCAATGTAGGTGGTTTTCTTTCTTAATGAAATTTCTCTTTCTGTCTGGTCTTCCTGGAATATGAAAGGGAAGGTATTCTCTTGCTCTTCCCTATTCTCAACTGGTAACCTTTACTTTTTTTCAATAAGAGGAAGAAAACTAATCTACAAAGGCAATATGGATATCGTTACTAGTAAACCAGTTGCTGTCAAGTTGATTCCAGCCCATCTGTTAGAGCAGAACTGGACTCCGTAGGGCAGACTTTTCAGCCATAGGTCACCAGGCCTTTCGAAGGCGGTGCCGCTGCAGAGACTCACACTCCAATTCAGCTCATTAGAAAGCAGGTATGTTAACTAATTGTACCACCCAAGGATTCCAGGATGCCATTAGCAAACTACAACTCAGCTGCCTAATTCCAGTGCCAGCCTAGGGGTCTTCTCTGTGAACACCAGCTCTGGGATCTTGGGCAGGTCTTCGAACCTCTCTAAGTAAACGTAGGAGTCCATTCACCTTCAGATTGCTTGTAGCCATTAAGAGAGTTCCACAATCTTGTTTGTACCCCTTCAATGACCCAAGTACTTCTCTGGACTTAATTTGTTCCAATGAGGGCATTGAACTGGTCCATTCCAGTTCAACACACTGCTGAGAATTTGCATGTTCACCCAGATATACTGAATCAGAATCTACGTTTTCATATTTTCGAATCCAAAGTTTAACCAAATCCCTAGCTGATTCTTGCAGATCATGTTACAATGTGGAGTCTGTTTCAGTGTCTTGGGGGTAGATGTATAGATAGATTCTCAGCAGGGGTGGAACCAGAATGAACCGGTTCAAGGCCCTTGTTTTCACATATGCTTGTTGAATATTGACTATCAGCAAGGCTTTACTTCTTGCAAAGTGTTTGGTTTCTGCCCCAAACAGTAGTTCTTTTGTCTTAAATGAGAATGAACTCTGATGACATCTTATTTCTCAAATATAAGTCAGAATATGATTAATTACAGTGAGCCGAGCACAAAAAAGGAGCTGGGAGAAAGGAGGGAGAGTGCGATGCGGGATGGAAAGAACATGAGGAAATCCTTCACGGCTGAGGGAACATTTGGGATAGACTGAGGCAGCCTACTTTACTTCAATCACAAAAGTGTCATTTGAAAAAAAAATTCTTTCTCATTTTGAAAATGACAGCTAATAAATACAGGGCTGATATTTTGATTTTATGCTGTAGAAAGTACCGTGTTGAAGGAATTTTAGACTTGTAGTTAGGAGAATTGTTTCTTAAGTCAGGAGACTTAAGTTCAAATCATAATTGCCATTTACTAAGTTTTGTGACCCAGAGCCATAGATTGAGCTCTAGGCCTTAGGTTCCCTATCTGTAAATGGGGATGGAGGTGTTATAATAGTACCTGTAATGCACTGTCCTAATGGAGCCCTCGTGGTATAGTGGTTACACACTGAGCTTCAATCCACGTGGCATGCAGTTCAAAACCACCAGCAGCTCCACGGGAGAAACACTGGGCTTTCTACCCCTGTCAACAGTTCCAGTCTCTGAAACCCACAGAGGGTGGCTCTGAATCAGCAGTGACTCCATGGCAGGGAGTGGGAGTGCACTGTCATTACACTGAGCCCTGGTCCAAGCAGAGAGCACGTTCTCCGTAGAGACTTGCTATCGTCCGCAATGTGAAGGAAAATGAAGCACTAAGAGCTATTTCTATTGCATAGGGATTCAGAATCTTCCAAGGATTTGCATATGAATTGAAGTTCTGTGGAACTTCCTGTTTGACATCATCTGCTGAGGTAGTAGAGATGAAAACCTTTTCTCAGCCAATGAGAAGATTGCTTTTGTAACAGAAACTCTGCTTGGTATATATCAACTGTCTGTCAAACTCTGTAGATGCTGTAACCCAAGAGACACAGATGAAATGCTTGCATCTTCTATTCAAGAGTAAGAAGGTGTTGTTGGAAAAATGGTGACTTAGATTTATGAGGGCTCTTCACAGCAGTGGAATCACACACAAAATAAAAGTTTAAAAGGAAAAATAGCATTTCTGATAGGGAGTGTAGGTGACAAAACTATGCAGCACTGAAATATTTCTCTTCTGGGAAGCAGGGTGACCTCTGCACCGGTGCATTTACTGTGCCACCATGCCGATAGAATTATATACACAATTTCCGTTGAATTAGGGAATCTCCCAGTTTAGTCCTATGCTAAACTTTAAGTTTAATTCTTCTAAAAATGAATAAAGCGTATCCTTAGATTGGAATATTTCAGTCTGGTATGTTGAGTAAATAGTGAACCACAAGGTCAGTGGTTCAAACCCACTAGCTGCTCCAGAAGGGAACGATAAGGTTTTCTGTTTCCCTACAGATTTATAGCCTTAACAACCATATAGTGTGTCACTGTGGGTGGGTGCAACTCAATGGCAGTGGGTTTGGTTTTTTGGATCATTGGTAATATATACTACATGCAAGGTTCAAATATATCTGGAAGTTTATATATAATGGTTCCAACCTCCAAAGACAAATAAAAGTTGGATTTATAAAGTTACTGATAATTGATGCCAGGGGCTTATATGGAGAGTAAATGTTTTGAGAATGATGAGGGTAACGAATGTACAAATGTGCTTTATACAATTGATGTATGTATGAATTGTGATAAGAGTTGAATGAGCCCTCAATAAAAAGATTACAAGTTTTTTAATTAAAAAATTATATTAAAAAGAAATAAAAGGCAATACTAATGAAAATTAAATTTTTAAAAAGTTGTTATATCTATATCAGAACCAACTGTTAATCAGGTCATTGGAACAGAATTCTGTCATAAATTGGGGACTACCTGATCAAATCCACCAATAATAGTCAAGCCATTAGTACCCAATTCACTTTTCTATTTGTAAGTTTTTCAGTGGACTCTTTGTCAAAGACATTCCCCAAATTAAAGTAGACCATATACAGAAGTTCTAGCAAAACATGATTAAAGTTTAATGTCCTAAAAGCTTCCAACAACTAAATTACTCTTTCCTAATTATTCCCCAACTATCTGAAAATCCAGCCTAGAATTTTCCTAGGACACTAAATCACCAATCTACATTGTCTAATGTATATATTGTATCAATGGCCTTCCTTTCAGTAAAACAAGAAGACTTGCTACCTTTTATTGTACAGGGCAGTGGTTCCTTAGACTTGCTGTAGGCATTGGTATTCTACAGCGCTGGGTCTGACTCGATCATTCTTTGGACGTTTCCTCCAGTGCACACTTGGAAGAGGTTTTAGAATGCAGCTGAGATGCAGGTGTTTGTGTATATATAGTTACAAGATAAGTCTTCTTTCATTTAGGTGCTAAGTGTCTATTGAATAATCAACGATATGATGGGTAGCCAGCTAGATGCTGGGGAATGTTACAAGGAACAAAACCAACCTGGTCTTTGTTTTCATGAAGTGTACAGTTTAGAGGACATAGATGCTAACCAATTAGTTGCTTAAATAAAGCTGTTGTGCATGGCATGAAGGAGATGGACAGGATGCTCTAAGCGCATGTAGCAGGGAGACTAGTTCTAGACAGAGAGCTAGGGAAAGCCCTTTTGAACCGACGGAAGGAAGGATCGCATAGAGTGGCATCTGTGAAGACGGGATAAAATGAAGCGATTCGAGCATGTCATAGCAGAGTTTGAATTGATAGCAGTCTGTGACTGATTAGGTCAGGGGTGAGAGAAAGGATGGTTTCACGATGCCTTCCAAAGTTTACAGCATCGATAGCTGAAGAGGTGGAATTACCAAGTGTTAAATTAGGGAAGCTGAAAGCGTGTCCCCATGTAGGAATCATTCCTGAATGCCAAGGTGACGTGGCTGCTAAGCTTCCTCCTGAGCAATCCAAGAAACCAGGTCACCTCTCGGCCCTTTGTGTCTTCAAATATGGGATTCCCTGCACTTCACCATGAGGTTGACAGCTAATTTGAATCTTGGCATTACGCACAAGTCTGGAGTCTGTATCACCAAATGTAGGGGGACTTATGTCCTTGCAAAAGAAGTAAGCTTCACATAAAACTCGTGAGCAGAATCCCAGAGATCCTGGGATCAGGCTACATTATGGGGCGGTCTTAACAAAGGATTTCCATTCTCGGGTTTATCATGTATCTTCTCTGGAGAGGAAGATTACCCTGCTTTTATTTTGGAGAATGCAAATAATATTTCTTGCTTCTGTTCATCGCCAGGCGGGCTTGTGAGCCATCATGAAAGAGCAGGTTGGCGCAGGGCTTTGTTCCTTGGCAGCATCTCTCTTGGTGTGAGCAGTGCGTCTCTATTTGCAATTGTAATCATTTCGTCATTCTTCTCCTACCTGCTTAGCATGCAACACACATTGTCGAAGCTGTGATTCACAGGCCAGATGCACCTCCTGCCGGGATCCAAACAAGGTCCTGCTCTCTGGGGAGTGTCAGTACGAGAGCTGTGCCCCACAGTACTATCTTGACTTCATCACCAGGACATGCAAAGGTAAAGCTCATCCTAAATTTGAATAAGGATTCTTCTCCTCCTCATTGACACCTGTTTACTACAAACATCCAGTCCCTCACACTGGGAAAGCCCCCTGCACTTTATGGGTTTGGAAGTCCTCAGATGATAGCACAGAATTGTTTTATGTGTATTATAAAGGAAACATTTTTGAGTACCATCTGTGTCCCAGAAGATCCCTAGTGGTATAATGGGTTTCACATTAGGCTGTTAACCAGAAGGTCATCAGTTGGAAACCACCAGGCACTTCATGGGAGAGAGATGAGGCTTTCTACTCCCAGAAACAGGTACAGTCTGGGAAACCCACAGGAGAAGTTTGACCCTGCCCTACAAGGTCCTTAGGAGTCAGGTTCACCTCAGTGGCAGTGAGTTTGTTTCTAAAGTCAGCCATTGAAAACCCTGTGTAGCACTGTTCTACCCTGACCACATGGGGTCACCATGAGTTGGGGTCAGCCCTATAGCAACCAGGGAAAGATAGTTAGAGAACCACCTCTCCTTGATCCCATTCCATTTTCCTTCTTCATACCAGCTCCCTTCCAGCTTTCCCTCCGTCTGGTTCTGGCAGAGAATCAAGGGCTTGGAAATAGGGGTCAAACATCTGTCAAGTAAACTAGGGCTCCTTTAAGGCTTTCCAAAAGTGCATCCTTTTCCATTACAAGAGATTTGACTTGGTTGTCGTCTTAGGTGGTCTGCTCTGTTCAAGACCAGAGAAGCCATTCTATTCCCCCCTCTCCTTCCAACCAGAGGCTGTCCCAGAGGCTGTTGGTTGTGGTGAAAAACAAGATTATCACAAATCCTCTCCGTTGTAAATGATTTCATAACTCTGTTGGCAGTTTTCAAGGCTCTATTTTAGTCATCCCCCCCACCCCCCAGGACTGATTCAGTCAAATAAATGAGAGAGATTAACTTTATAAATCTTTTTCGGAGCACGTGTGCGGTCTTGCGCATTTACTTGCTTCTTTGGGACCAGCAATATTGAAGCAAGGCGGAAGGGAAGGTGAAGAATGAGAGGCTTCCCCAGCTTCTTAGGAAGGGAGGAAGAGGGCTGAAAGAGTGTCCAACACTGTAGCTCTTTACAGGAGTAGAAAGCCCTTGTCTTTCTCTCGCCAGACGCCTGGTGGTTTCAAACTGCTGGCTTTGCGGTTTGCAGCCCAACATGTTGCCACCATGCCACCAGGGCTCTTGGGGGAAACACTGGCATAGACTAATGTGAATAAAAAGTGACACCCACACTATCTTTCCCATTTTCTTGCAAGAAGAATTTACTAGCTGCAATACTGACTCTCAAAATGGAGTGTTCTGAGTGTGTCCCTGTTGCCTGCACCATTACAAACAACAGCCGGCAGGATAACAACAACAGTGGTAGCAGTGTGTATGCCTGGATTCCATAGGTCTGCGCTCAGGCCTGGTCATCTGTGTTTGTGATCATTCCTCCAGGTTACTGGGGTACACGTCCTAAGCTGAGACCAACTGAGCGAGGAACTGACCTTCCTGACTGCAGGGTCCTCGCACACACACTCTCCTTCCTCTTTGGCCCTCTTCAGTATATGCCTACCACCTCTACTTGTTCAGTTAATGGATGAGTAAATGAGTTGATTCTGGTGTCCTTTCTTTCTGGAAAGTTCTTTTATGCCCCATGTAATCCAACCATTGTTGGTTCTTTCTGCCTTGCTTAGCACCTGATACTGAGCCCCACATCTGGTGTCTTTAGTGCAGCAGCAGGTGCATTCTGCATTGAGTTTCTGACATCTAGCCGCTATCAAGCATTTGTGGCACCAATTGGCCCTCCCTCTAGCCAGCTTTGCATGAAGACTTGGCGGCACAGCACAGGAATAAAGCACTCTGGGGCCCAGGGAATAAGATAAGGTTGATCTGACTCCTCAGCAGCCTCACTGACAGGCAGGCCCTGCACAGACATAGCGTGATCCTTGTACATGCCCGTGTCGAACATAATTAGGAAACAGTAAACCTCAGAGAAGCACTCAGGCTTCTACAAGCAGAAGCCTCGTTGGCGCTCACTTGTCTGACATCTCTTATGTCATCTCCACTTTACCCTTTGCAGCTGCGTTCAGCATCCTCATAGATGAGCCCCTGGGACAGAGGGAGGGCAGAAGGGATGCTGATCTTACATGAGCTTTCTTTCTAGAGTGTGATTGGAGCTGCAATGTATGCAAAGGACCTCTGAGAACAGACTGCCTGCAGTGTATGGATGGCTATGTTCTCCAGGACGGGGCCTGCGTGGAACAATGCTCACCACCATTCTACCGTGACTTGGGCCTCTGCAAGAGTAAGTCTCTTGAGCCCCCACTCTGGATCATCAAAGCTGTGCACTCATCTGATTTTCACTGTTCTGCAGAGGAGCTTGGCTTTTTATTGAGTTCCTGGTTTCTTTCCTAAGGTCCTTTCTTTGGAATAATGAGAATGCCCCCTTTTCTTTTCCCATGGCCAAATACAACCTGCGCTGCGTGTGGAGACCTTAGGTGTGTCTAGCCCCCTAAACAGTTAACGAACTAGCCATTGCTCTTGGGCTTTCTTGGGAACTGAGCGGTCCAGGTATCCAGATCAGGAGCCCTGGTGGTGCAGTGAGTTAATCACTGAGAAGCTGAGCGACCACTCCATGGGAGAAAGATGAGGCTGTCTGCTTCTGTAAAGACTGACAGTCTCGGAAACCCACACTAGGAAGGAGTTCTCTGCCCACAGTTCCACTGTGCGTTGAACTGGACTTCATGCTAGTGGAGTGGTGGTGGTGGTGGTGGAGAGGTCTGTGGGTCATCATCATGCTTCTACCAACTGTGTCTGAACTCACGTCGCTTCTTTTGGCCGAGGATCCCCTCCAGATCCGCAGATTCTGAAATCTCATCAAAAGTAGACAGACTGCTTCCCTGCAAGGGAGCACGCAAGACTCTGGTAACTGACTTCAAACATCAGCTAACACTTCAGTCCATTAGTGCAGAGAGTCAAAGGCTGGTTAGTAGTCACACTAATGGGTAATTGCTGCCAGTAACTATATAGCTTATCTAATATTTTTCATTATTCCATTTAATCTTCACCCAAGGAGTGTGGTTGGTAAGGCTTTGTATGCCCACGCGTGTTTTCTAGGGTAAGTCATTGAGCTTCAGAGGAGTTGAGTGACCAGCTGCTAAGGCTGGTATTCACCCTCAGAACTGGGACTCCTTGGCACCTCGGCCAGTGCACTAACCAGTAGAATCTAGTACCTTCCCATGAAAGCCAGGAGCCCATTGGAATGGAAAGACTCCTGTTGACTTAATGTTTCTCTTTCAGGCTGTGGCCTCCCCTGTCTCCAGTGTCAAGGTCCCCAGGAATGTACTCGCTGTGAAGGGCCGTTTCTCCTCCAGGGCAACCGGTGTGTCCTGGAATGTGAGAAGGGGTACTTTGCAGACCACGCAAGTAACAAGTGCACAGGTAACTTGGAGACTTGGCTGAGTCCTTTGGCAGAAAGTGAGGGCATCACATCAGTCCTGGGTGCAGATGCTCAGGTAACCAAGTTGAGCATCTGAATTAGGAGGAGCAGGAAAGCCCAGAGAGATCAACCTAAGTAATTGATGGTTTCCCATGCACATCTGCCAATTGCCGATTAAATTGAATATAGGAGAGCAGACCAATAATTCTCTTGCACAAATCAATGTTGTCCCGAAAGGTCTCTATGGAGGCAGAGCCAATATTTTATGGAATGGACATGCTTCTATTGAACTACAGTGAGGCATCCATTAAGGGTGAATCATTCCTATTGACTTGGGCATTGAGTTTCCAGTGTGTCAACTAAATCACTTGTAACCCTCCTGCTGGCATAGTCCCCTGGAGCAATAGGATTTGGGGGACAATTTAGGGGCACAAACTGGAGTTTCTCTTATTGAACTAAATTAATCACAAAATCTTAATCTCCTTCTCTGTTGGCTCATCCAAGAGATTTGTTTCTTGACCAATTGTTTCTCATCATTTCTATCAAAAGGTTGATACCTGTGCCTTGCTTTAAAGAACGCCTGACACAAAAGAGTAATTCTCACTCCCTAAACAAGAACTGACACAAAACAGTAATGCTCACTCCCTAAATGTAGCATCTTACGTTTAATTCAATTTCCCTCATTTCCATTACCTCATTTGATATTTGTAATGACTAGGTAGATTGTAATAGACATTATAAATCCAGTTTTGAAAATGGGAGACAAAAAGAGACTAAAGAATATTAGCCAGGCAACAGACAACATCAGATATGAAAATTGAATTTTCCGATTTCAGCTCAGTGTCCTTTAAACTATATTATGATGCCTCTCTATAAGAAAATCTCAATGAAAGAAGCATAACAATTAGAGAATAAGCAATGTATAGAAAATTAGTAGGGGGCTTAGTTGCTCAGTGGCTATACTTATAGCTGTTAACTCAAAGGTTGGAAGTTAGACTCCAGTAGCCCTTACCTAGGTATTGTAAAGACTTGGAGCCTTGGGAATGCTTTGGGCCAGTCTCTAATCCACCCTATAGAGTTGTTACTATTAACTTCACTCAAAGAAACAATCATGTGCTTTTTCTCATCTCTAGCTCTCTTTGTGCATTTAAAGTTTCGTAACAGCAGCAGCAGAGATAGTGGCAATCCGATGGAGCATTCACTGTGCCCCAGGCAGAGTTGTAGTCAGTTTGCCTTCTGATGCATGTAGTCTTCCCCCTACCCCTGGCCTGGTGGTTGAGAAAAGAGCAGCACTGAGAGTTGAAGAAACTTGCCCAATGTGTTAAAAAACCAGGAAGTAGTACAGGAAGCCACCATTCATCTGTCAGTGTGCCTCGCCGTGACGGCTCCTGTGCTGCAGTGACCCTAGATGCTAGCCCACCACTGTTTCCAATACTAGCCGGCGGTGGATAGGTTTCATTCCTGACCAAGACAGACTCGGAGGAAACACATGGAGGCGATCTACTGAAAACAAACTTCAAGATGAAGCAGAACATTCTCTAGGGCATGCTAGAGTTTGAGCCCCTGAGGTTGGGACTAGACTATGTAATAACCACAGTGATGGGCCCCGACATAGCAAAGATCAGGAAGATGGTACGGGCAGCATTCCTTTCTGTTTTGATGGGTGGCCATGAGTCAGAGCCCCTGCCTTGGCCACAAACCACAGTAAACACAGAGGAGGAATGCAACCAGAGAGAGCCTACAGACTGTCTGTCTGATTAACTTCTGGAACGGTCCATCTTCCGGCATTGATTTTGGGCTGTAGTGCATATACTGGCATGCTCCCCTGTCTCTGTTTCCTTCTGAGAGTAGGCCAGTCTCCTCTGAAACTCTGTAGACAAACAGAAGGAGCTACAGTTAAGGGATGGTCTGTTACTTATGCTGTAACAACCCTGGCTGCCGTCCGTGTATTTCCCTCTCACTGGTGGTCCTAGGTGGGTGTTGGTATGTTTGTTGTGCCTCTCTGACATGTGCCTTCTCTCATAGCATGCCCTCGAGGGTGCTTGCAGTGCAGCCACTTGGACCGGTGTCACCTCTGTGACCATGGGTTCTCTTTGAAGAGTGGCCTTTGTGTTTCCACCTGTGTCCCTGGCTTCTCCGGCCTCTCTGCTAATGGGACATGTGCTGGTAAGTGCCTGTCCTCAGACGGTCTGGTAAATGCACTGGTAATTTCCCCATGAAAAGGTTAGTTTACAGATACAGTCACTCATCTGAGATGAAATGCAAGATTCCTGTTTTGGGAACAACTTGGTGCCCCTAAGGAATTAAAAACAAAAAACCTAAACTCACTGCCATGGAGCCAATGCTGACTCCTAGCGACCCCCTGTGGGTTTCCGAGACTATGTGTGTTGCCGAGAGCAGAAAGCCCAGTCTTTCTCCCGAGGAGTTGCTGCAGGTGGTTTCGAAGTGCCAACCATGGGGATCACAGCCCAACTCATAACCACTACAGCACCAGGGTTCCCTAAAGAATAAAGAGCTATCTAGAGAAGGTGGAAAATTGGGGAAACCCGACTCCGATGGTCTTTGGAAGAAGCAAAGCCACTGTGCCTTCAGAGTCATAACTCTCAGATGAGAAATGTAGCACAAACTCAGGTATGTTACCGCGACACACACCTTTATGTATAAACACGTACTAACATCTATAAGCGCCTACCTGTGGATAGAAAAGTAGAGAGATGACTGCCGGACGTGCTGGTATATTCTTTTTGCTTACTATGAAGATAAATGATATATAAGTTACAAATGACATGAGGAGCCTGCCTCATTAGGTTTGCACAGTTGAAGGGGAGGGATTTCCACCTATCTGGTTTACCATTCAGATTATGATAATAAGTTAAGGGAACTATCCCTCGCAACATATTAGTATTCTCTTCTACATTAATGACAAAGAGAAATCTAAGTCAATCTTAATTTCGGGCCCCCCAAATGAAACTTAGGAGTGCATT